AGAGAGAGAGAGAGAGAGAGAGAGAGAGAGAGAGAGAGAGAGAGAGACAGAGAGAGAAAGAGAGAGGGAGAGAGAGAGAGAGAGCCACATTCCGAGCGGATCACGGATGCTTATAGAAGCGTTGCGTAACGGCGTCAGGCGAACAGCGAAACCGCGACTTCGTCGTCGAGCTCGTCGTCCAGTTTTGACGACTTCGAGGGAACACCCGGTACGTCCCGTGTGGTCCTCGGGCCTCTCGCCTGACCCACGGCTCTCGATTCTGTGGTGATCGCCGTGGCACGGAGTGCTCTCGAGTGCCGTGTGTGTGAGGTGCTTAGACGCGCGTCTCGGTTCCACGAGTATTCTCGGCGAGGTCGGATCATCCCGTCGCACCGCGATCGTGAACGGCCGCGGCGACGGCGGCACGTGCGTGTACGTGTGTGTGCGAGTGAGTGACTACGAGAGAGAGAAAGAGAGAGAGAGAGAGGGAGAGAGGGGGGGAGACAGGGAAGGGTTAGGAGAGGAGAGCGGAGGGGAAGGAGAGGCGGAGAAGCGATCAGGGTGATAGAGGTGATACGGCGAGGTGGCTCGACGTGTTGTTCTCGAGGTGTTGGTCACGGATCGCCGGGAATCCGCGAGGTGAGAGAGCCGAGGCTGGACGACAGGCTAAAGGAGTGCTTGACGAAGGCCTCGCCGTCGAGTGTATCGATTCCGAGAGCGCGACTTTCAAGGCCGCGACGTCTTCGCGTTCGGCTCCTCGATCCTCACCGGTATCGGAAAGGGAGCACGGAATTCTCTCGTTCTTTCTCTCTCTCTCTCTCTCTCTTTCTCCCTCCTTCTCTCTCTTCCTCCCTCCCTCCCTCCCTCCCTCATTCTCTCTCTTTCCCCCCCTCTCTCTCTCTCTCTCTTTCCTCAAGATCGAGAGACGTAGATCCGCGGACCACGTTCTCGCGCGCGTCGCACGTCGATTCCTCGAAGTCGAACTAAAATTAAACCCGGCCCGGCGAGAGAGGCTCGCTGATTCTTTTCTCACGTCCGGCTTCTCTCTCGCGAATCGCGTCGCCACGATGACGAGCGAACCCCGAGGGCCCGAGGTAGCTTGAGTCGCCCGCGTTGAAGGATCGGCGCGCTCGACTCGACTCGATCGAGGGATCGACGGTGCGCGGGGCTCGCGCCACTCGCGGCGTTTCTCTGCGCAAGCTTTCGCTTTCGCGCGACGGCGGCGGCGGCTTGGTCGCGGCGCGTATCCTCGGCGAGCCGGCGCGTCTTGCACCGGCGAGCACCGACGACGACGACGATAACGACGACGACGACGACGACGACGACGACGACGACGACGACGACGACGACGACGACGACGACGACAGTGACAACGACGAACAAGAACGCGTGATCATTACGACGGATCAACGCTCGATTCTCCGGTGCTATTGCAGAGATCCGGTAGGACGCGCGAAGAAGCGGCGACGAGGGCGGCTGAGACGTCGGAAGAGAAGGTGGCGGATAATGGAGCGACATCCAGGGGTAGGCGCGTGCGGACGTTGCTGACGAGCGAGCACGAGCGCAACGAAGACGACGACGACGACCACGACGAAGACGACGAGGAAGTCGAGGAGGCAGTGGCGGCGGAGCAGGAGGTGGGCGACGAGGGAAACGTGGAAACGAACGACGACAGTGCCCGCGGCGGCCTCGAGAGATGCAGCAACAGCCACATTCCGGCCAGCAACCGTCCGGGGCGCCGAACGGGGTGGCGGGGGGCGCCCAAATGCCGCAAACAGGTGGCATGAGCCCGGCGCAACCTGGCGCGACCGGCACCGCCACCGCGTCCACCAATCGGGCGCAGGTTAACGGCGGTAGATTCGACTTCGACGACGGCGGCACCTACTGCGGCGGCTGGGAGGACGGCAAGGCCCACGGCCACGGCGTGTGCACCGGACCCAAGGGTCAGGGCGCCTATTCCGGCAGCTGGCATTTCGGCTTCGAAGTCTCCGGCGTCTACACCTGGCCTAGGTGAGTCGTTTGCGCCAGGTTGTGTCGGACTATTGTCCACCGAATGCATTTACCTTGATTGCACGGAAACAAAAAGACACGCGACCAGAAATATTTTCTCGTGAACGGTATAGTTGCATCACCCTAGTTGTCTCTGTGTGATGGTGATGTGTACGATCGGCACGACTCAGTTGCTTTAATACTTTAACTACATCGATAAAGTCGCGTGTGATTTGGTGGCGATCAAGAATCGATTGGGATGACATTTGATCGTGGATACTCTGGTTTGGAGCAACGAGATGTTGTCACTGCTGCAACGCTAGTAACTCAGCAATTGTGTTACCGTTGCAGCAACCGCATAATTAGTTGTTCCGTATTTTACTACTGAATCTGGTTGGCACAACCTGATTTATATGTGGGTTAATCATACTGTTTCCGTATACCGAATTAACTGCGAACTCCGGGAAGTTGACTTTGTTTTTCTTTTCATGAAAGAAAATTTGCTGTTGCAATTATAAACCTCGTTAGAGCAGCATATCTATGACCGTAATACATGGACAGCCATGCGGAAAATGATATGGTGCACATAGCGAGAAATATTTAATTGTGTTCCAGCATAGTTATACATCACAAAAAAATGTATAATATTTATAACTTGTAATTACATAGAGAAATAATTGCTCAAAATTATGATAAAAAAATTATTTCTTACTAAATTCTGCTATAATGTTAGTAATATTAATTTTTTGTGTATGTCACTATTACTACTTTTGTATGAAAACAACCAAAAAATATGGAGTTGGGGCTAAAAGTAACTATAATTTTAGTTAAATCAACCATTTCTCTCTCTCATTATAGTCATCTTTATATGACAGTAATGTGCAGTGTCGATATGACTCAGTTACTTTGGTACATTAACATTGTTACGCATGGTCTGGTTGTGGCAGTCAGAAATTGGTTGGGGTGACATTTATCGTGAACACACTCGGAGCGACCAGATATCGTCACTGCTACAATGTCAATAACTCAGCAATTGTTCTGTTGCGGCAACTATGCAATTGGCTGTTGCGTATTTTATTTTACTACTGAATCTGGCTGACACAACCCTGTTCGTGTGTGGGCTAGCCATACACGGTTTTCTCGTGTGACGTTCGTTAACGTAGTTAATAACGTGTTTGAGCTCACGTTGTGGACGAACAGTGCGGTCCGTGGAGTGAAGATAAATCACGAGTAATTACGGTAAATCGTTAATCCGGCGCGGCATATGTAACACGCTCGGCTGGTCGCGCTTGGCAGGGAAGGAAGTAATCTTGCACTCTGTTCGCCCTCGCCGAGATTCGCACGGCGACCGTTGTTCCATCCAGCGTTGCCGAGCGAATTAACGCCAGGTTGGTGCACGGCGCGTCGGGTGTACGTTTAATTTTCAGGCTCGTTATCCGAACGTGTTGCGTTGGTCGCGACTGTGTTCAGCGCATTTAAACAGCGCGACGTTCGCGTCGCGAGTGCCGCGCGTTACAAACGCCGCGGGAGTTACTCGAGCTCGACCGTGGCTATTTCGAGAGGTTCGCGCTCGATATCTGGAAAAAAAGTGTATTTCCGGTGAGTCTCAATTAGATCCCATTGACGGTTTCGCCGTCGGGTATGCGTCAAATTGACGAAACTCGCGCCGCGCCGCGCCACGCGAGATGAGCGAATGGCGGACCTTGACACGTATTCCGGCTATACCTGAGAGGGAATCTCCCGATCCTGCGAAAGTAGGTCACCGAGCGCAAGGACAACGAGACCGGGTCACCGGGATCCACGAGCCGCCAGGTCCTAGTTCAGGGCCGTGCGGGACGATAGTTGTCGAAAATCCTCGCGAAGACGAGCACGGCCAGCGACGATTGACGTCGGTATACGCGTCCGAAAGCTTTGTAATAGTGCTGTTAGTATAACCCGGGTATTTCTGTGCCTGTGGGTGCTCATTCTCGAGGATATTGGCTACCCGGGAAGCCAGATAGTAAACGGTTACGAATATCCATTTAATAAGGATTTTCTTGTAACAGCTCTCTCAATTCCTCGTCTTCAATTTACTTCTGGCGCTCCATGACATTTTTTTATCAAAAAGATAAAATTTTTATCTTTAAAAGATTTTTTATCAAGAAGAAATTACCATTCCGAAACTTTTGATAACACTTTTTACTGTAAGCCACAGTACCTTCTCTCAAAGTAAAGTAAATCATTTCCTTAGTCTCAAGAATATTTTTTTTTTCAATTGAGATGCAGAAAGAATGCAGGAGTACTTGTTGAGCAATATCGTGTTCAATACTGCTTTGTGAGATTATGTCGTTAGCAGCGTCCTGTTATATGGTGTTTTATCATTTTAAGAGTTGGCACTCCGAAATCCCAATGCGGCGGATAAAAGATTTGAATATAAAATAAAGTTATGGTTAATTAATTGTGAAAGTCACTAATTAATTTGTACATCTAATACTTCGTGTATTCGATTAACTTTAGCCGCAAATTCCTCATGTGCAGAAGACATACGGACGCAAAATGTAGCTGCCTTCTGTCGGCCCGAGTGAAAAAAAGACCCAGTAAAACGAACCAAGTTAATGAGTTGAGCAAATTTGGTTGCATCAGTTGCAATCAAAACGAGCGAAATTGAATAAAAATTCAATCTGCTCATCAATCTGATATAGGAATTTCAAATAAAAAATTTAGTCGAAAATGAAAGGTTAATCGAAACTGAAATGTTGTTACACGGGCTCTAAGTGTTTTTTTTCATGGACAAAAATTGGTCCAACTACATAATATAAGTAATTCTATCTTCTGGATGGAAGGTTAAGTAAATCAGAGGATAAATGTATTAATACATATAAATGTATTACAACAAGCTCTTTGATAATTGGATATTTGCAAGATTTGTTCAACTAGAAGAAATCATTACAACTGCTTCCTCAAGATTGTTGAATAAGTTACAATATACAGAGCTCGGATACAAGATTCAAGCTATCGACAGGTTGCGCTGGCTAGCTCGTTCGATCGTAGGTAAATTCTCGTCGCGAAGAGATATAAGCGAGCAAGCTTCACCACTTGAAGCTTTATATGACATGATGACCGATGTGTGTGTTTGTGTGTGTACTGTCTAAGACCTGACTCTGCAGGTCCATTTTTCTGAAGTTTTCTGACACTTTCAGTGCCAACTATTATATTGTTAAGTTGAAATTGTTAATTCTTTGGATTATAAACAGGGTAGATAACGTTTAAATTAATGATCTATCACGATACATGTCACATAGGGGGAAAATTTAATGAAATATTACATTATACTTTTTAACCATATATGTAGCTCACTCATCTCGAGAAAAAAAGTTGAATAAAATTTTTTAGTCGTTACTACACTTGACAACTCATTTGGTTACTTTTCGGGATAGTCAAATCAACGCTACGATTAATCAATTTTGCTTAGCTTGTTGGATACAAGTGAAAAATTACAAGAACGTCAAAATGATGCTGAAAGAATTAAAACAGTTAGTTCACTATATACAACCTCGTAATTGAGTCCGCTCAACTCGTTTCTAGTTGTTCCGATCGATTCTTTTTACAGTGTAGGTGTCAAGCTTTCAAGTTAATATATTAGAGTAATACCCAAAAGATACGGATATAAGCTCGGGTATTTGGGTAAAACCCAAAAGACAGAATATCCGGGTACCCGGTTAGCCGAAACTGACAGCATTACTTTGTAATTCCTCTCTTTAAGAATCCAATTTGTTAACTTTCCTCTTTGATGGAGGATACTCATCGAATATTGATAGGGAGAGAGATGAGGAAGGATAATATTAATGGAATATTAATAAAGTGCGTTTGAAATTCTGGTTTCGAGGAACAGTTTCAATAAATACAAATGCAAATTAGTCTTTGTCGAAGTCCCTTCAATTCAAAGTGTTTCTTTTATTAAAAGGCACAGCTTTCTTCTCGATAACGACGATGCTACCGTTGATGAATGTTCCGTGTCGTTTTCTTACGTAAGAGCAAACGCATATTCGTGACAACGTGCACGCTGCTATCCTTGAATTATCGATCGGCATTATTATTCAGTACTTAAGACCAATGTAAGGCTCTGAGAAAAAGCATATTTTTGGGAATTGATTTTGTGAAAATGGTTTAACCAAATGTCTTGAAACATTATCTATTAATTAACTTTTCAATTTTATATTTTTGTTATTTAAAAACCTGTTTTGTTATTTAAATATTTTTGTTATTTTTTATACTTTTGTTATTTAAAAACCTGTAAATAAATATGCAGCATATGGCCGAACTCACGACTGCAAAAATATCGTTGCAATCGATAAGGAAAATAACGTTTTAATGATCTGAAAAATAAAAAAACCGTAAAGTTTCTTAAATAATATGCTTATGAATATTTTGGAAGATGAATCTAAAAAAAATCAGTGAAACATTAAACTTGACACTTTTTTTAATAATGCAAAATAACAAAAAGATACAAACTTTGGATATTCAATTTTAAAACAGTTATTGTGTCTGCAATTCTCATTCTACAGTTTAAAATTTAGATTTATTCTCCAATTACAAGGATATTATTTAAGAAACTTTTTGGTTTTTTATCTTTTTCAGGTCAATAGAACGGATGCTCTCTTTTCCAACAAATGCAGCAATATTTTTTGCAGTTGTGATATTTGCTGCATATTTATTTATAGGTTTTTCTAAATAACAAAAACAGTACAAAGTTTAATAGTTACTTAATTAATATACATCGTTTCAAAACATTCGGTTAATCTATTTTCGCAAAATTAATTCTCAAAGAAACGCTTTTTTTTTAGAACGTTACGTTAATCAGAGCTCTTAAGTTTTTCTTGATTCCATATTACTTGGTCGTCCGATTCGTTATTCTTTCGGTGAAGATAGCGAAATAATCGCTAGGAAATCTCGTCTTCATATTATTGGGATTTCAATTCCGGTGAGTCGTCACGAGGCATTGCGACAATTTGAAAGGAATTTTATGATATCCGCGCGTGCACGGAAATCCGAAGGAGGTCTAACGACCGTATCAAGCGTTTCCAAGTCACGCATGCAACGGAGACCTAATTGAGTAGAAGCAGTAAGGATGTAATAACGCCGAGATAACACGCAACGATTTCATGCCTGGTGTTTACACGCCGTTTAAGCTACCTATTTTCAGGGTAGGATCGAACAATTGGCCACCGGGACAAGGTGTGCGAAAAGGAACTTTCAATTTTCATTCAGGGATCTTTATTTATAATTTTAATATAATGATATAATTTTAATGCACTAACACATTGTAACTTTAACATTATAACTCTACGTTTTTTCTACTTCTTTGTACAAATTTCAAGTAAGCTAAAAATATCAATTCTCAGACACACATCTAATCTTTATACTTATTGTTTTGGCTTTTTTTCTAAATATGAATATTTAAATTTTCAATACAAAATATACATACACATATACATATACACATATATATGTTGGTTAGATATACATACATTTATTCTAAGTTAAAAGTTTAAATATTCGTACATAAAAACAAAACAATAAGAATATTCAGGATTTGGTACATGTTTAGACGGTGATACTTTTATCTTATTCTTAAAGCAACCCTCGCGAGCTTGTGTAAAATAATAGTCGACTCTAAGGTATCAATGGCTAGACATTAATAACACTGGTACCTAATTTTGGACATTCTTAATGTTCTGGTTTTTAAATACGACATTTATATATATAAAGAATATTTAAACTTTCAATATAGAATATATATATATATTAGAGAAAAGAGTGGTTGACTTAATGAGACTTTGTTTGAACGAATCTTGTTCGTTCAAGCAAACGTTTAGTCGAATGAATAAATTATATAGTTTCTGCGCAATTAGTTATATATAAATTGATTCAATGGTCGCGATTTGGTCAGTGACTATATCGACGCAACTTATTGTTGCACCAACGTGTAATTTATTCAATGAACACAACGTTCCTATGAAGATTAGTGATTGCCAAGTTTGTTGATCCTTTTTTTCTCAGTGTACACATGCTGAAGACATACATATATTCTACGTTGAAAGTTCAAAAACATTCGTACTCAAAAACCAAAATAATGAGAATGTCAGAGTTAGGTGCCAGTGTTTATTAGGCATTGGTACTTTGACCTTATTTCTTCGCGTTGCTCGCTAAACATATTCAGGTCTCTCACTTACTCCATGTCATTCGGTTCGTGAGAATTGTCAGGATGAATTTGAAAGTTTTACCACGTATTACACCGTGCGAATATGAGTCTCGCCCTCGCTCGTTTTCGGGGTCTCTGGGATCTATTTGAAAGTAAGTCGGTTTCTTCCTGGCCCTGGTTGGTTTCCGGCGCCGCGACCCGGGCCGCGAGGCAGGACGAAAGGGGCGACATAAAAGAGAATGGAGTGGGGATGAGACAGACTCTCTTCTTCTTCTTCTTCTTCTTCTCAAGCACATATCTAGGCCGAGAGAATTCGTCGCTTCGTTTCCGTGTAAACTGGAGCAAGGTCTTCGACCACGTTTTCCTAGCAACATCCTCCACGGCGGCGGCGGCTGCGCTCCAGATCGTAACAATACTCGAAGCTAAGAGTTCATAGATCAGCTACGTGTTGTCGACCACTACGCTTCGGGGAATGATCGCTTCGCGTGCACGGAATTTCGCTCCTCTCGCGTTCGCTTCCGCCTCGTGACGAGCAAAATCGCGCCGGGGAAGACATCGACACGTGCTTGTATAGGAAGAAAAAAAGAAATACGTAAGAAAAAGTTGTAAAACTATAAAAACTTTATTGAAGTGATCAGATTAAATGTCTTACAAGATTTTAACTTGACGTCTAAAAGAAAAGAGGGTCCGCTGTAGCATTCGTTCTTTGTTTATATAGCTGCCTCGCATTTATGACTCGCATATTTCCAATTTCCACGTTTTAATTCGGACGATTTTGCAAAACTTTAGGTTTGAGTTTTGCCTGGCTGTTTCAGACTTTTAGCATCGCTTATATGTATATTCAATATATGTACATAAATTATATATATGTCAAAAGTTTAAAGTTTTAAATACAAATATTTAAATTTTCAACATAAAATATATATATTGAATATATACATACACTTTCTATGTTTTAAAAGTTTAAATATTCATATTTAAAGATGTTTAGATACGTGTCCGGGAATTGGTTACTTTTACATCATCACGGGACAAAATCGAAATTGCATCAGCCGGCTGATTTACGGGCGAAATTATTCAATATTGGCCGTTAATTGCATCTCATGCCGCCTGTTCCTCGAGATAAGACGCGCGTTCTTCTTTTTATTCATTCTTTTCTCTTTATTTTTCAAATTCATGCCGCCATCGAGAATACGTAATCCGCGTACTTTATCACACTCGAGGTTGCATTTATAATTAGAGGACGTAGAGTTGTGTAGGGACAACCTGTACATCGTCGGGGTTTATAACGCAGTTAACACGAACTGCTACGGTTCACGCGAGCCGCACGAATTTTTGTCACGCGACGGACTGTTCCTTCGCAAGGAAAAGATTCTTCCATTTCTGGTGAAGGAGAGAGAGGGAGGGGGAGGGTAGGAGAAACAGAGAGAGGGACAGAGAATGGTGGTATTTTCGCGTGTTGTTCTTTCCACTTAACAGTCGTCCACAGGGCGGCGTGCGAGTAGAATTAACGACTCTCTTTCGAGAGATTCGCGCTTCGAGAGCTTTTCATGCTTTCCATGCGCTGGCGATGGTGCTGGAAGATTGCACGTAATCGTTCGTTAAGGAAATAATTGAAATGTGTTATTCTTGACGACGTACTCGTTGCGAGTTGAGCACATCTGACGAACGAGCAAAGAGACTCAGTCGCCCTCGAACTAAACGCTGCTGCTCGATTAATTCCACTTCTCCGATAATACAAGCCGACAAATTTTGACTTTTGTTCTGACCTTTCAGACTTGCATAAGTGATTCTGAAGATTTATGGCATCCTAAAATCAAATCCGTTGCTGAAACTGTTTTGTCACGTCAGGTTTCCGAGATATTCCAGCCTAAAAATAACAAAAAGGCCACTTTTTGTCATTTTAGATTAGAATAAGTCTAAAACGTGAAGTAATAGGCTAATTTAGCGGACTTGAGCTTAGCATGGAAAAATTTACTAAAATCAATTGTTGCATTTAATAAATTAGGAAACAAATGTTTCATATATCTATGCCAAATTTTTGTGGCTGGGGGTGGCTAGGGACGGCGCGTCGACGGAGTGTCGACGTCATCGTCGTCGATAGCGACGCTAATTAGACGAGTCTCCAGTTTGCTTACGCTGACACAAGCGCCGTGTAAATAGCGTCGTGATTGTCCGAGGGTATTTCCCGGGGATATTCGCGCGGTGAGAGCTGCGGCCGAAGGTTGCCGCGACCCAAAGACACGGACGGAATCGTCTCTCATAGTTATCGAGCGCGCCCCACACACGGAAGTCACTTGTCTTCGGGAGGAGACTGACGAGACGCGAACTGTTGTTCCAGCGGGTCAGCTTACGAAGGACAATGGCAAAACGGCAAGAGGCATGGTCTGGGCATGGAGACGCGCGGTCGTTGGCTCTACCGGGGAGAATGGACTCAGGGATTCAAGGGTCGTTACGGGGTCCGGCAGTCCACCACCTCCACGGCGAGATACGAGGGCACGTGGTCCAGTGGCCTGCAGGACGGTTATGGCTCCGAGACTTACGCCGACAGTGGTGAGTGAGGTCTCTTTCATAAAAATGAAGATGTGGAAGCAATCGGGTGGATAAGGGTAGCTTTTCCCAAAAGTGATACGCTGTATAACAGTTAAATCGTATACACTATGTTCTTCCTTCAAATAAGATAGAGACAGACATATTAGTGAGAAAAAGAGTTTTATTAATTGAACGAAATATCAGTACGCGCAATTTCTTGCTGATATGGGATAGCAAATGACCCCGCAGTGGGAACAGATGATTCGTCACTTCCAATTTGCTGCTCTGAGCAATGCTTCTGCAATGGAGACATTACTAATCTGCCCTAAACAGACGAGAACGAACGTGACTGGTGTCTTAGGCAATGTATGTTTGTCGAAATGACAAACGATGAGAAATGATTTGCAACGGTGACTACTCGATCCCGTTTCTCTAAAGCTTAATCTACAATGTGTTTTTTGCTTCTTGTTTTTATTCCCTGTCTTTTTTAGCTTAAGATTCAAGATTTTAATCAGAAAGAGATAAAGACAAACAAGAAGCAAAGAACAAGTTGTAGATCAAGTTTAAAATTTAATCAACAATGAACTCTTAGCTCCCTGTTTCTTGTCCTCTATTTTTTTCTGGCTTAAGACTTAAGGTTTGAATTAAAGAGAGATAAAGAGAAAGGGACGGGAAGCATCTGATAAAGCTTTAAATTTGATTTGCAATGTTCTTTGTTTTTTATTCTGTCTTTTTCTGGCTTGAGATTTCAAGTTTGAGTCAGAAAGGGATAAAGAGGAAGAAACAGGAAGCAAAGAACACAATAAATTTCTTCGTGTTGTTTGCACTTTTCACACTTTTACGCCCCTCTTTAGAAAGAAAAGCTCTCACTGGATTGTCTCTGGCGTGCAAAGGGCAAAAGTTTCAAAAGTGCAAACAACAATGCGAACAAACCTATTGCAGATTATCAAGCTTGACGATTATCAAACAAATGCGCTTTTGTTCTGATAACCGAGGATCTCTCTCTTCCTCAGTGTGTGACTTAACTGTCGGTTAGCTTAGCGAGAGGTTGTAAAAATCGGCTCCTGAGACGTAGAGCCTTCTCGCGACGAAGTGTGGCCGTGAGGTTCGACGACCTATTTTCAGGGACACCTATTGTACGAAAACTGATAAAACAGCTGTCGGTGACGCGGTTTATCGATTCGCGATACGCAGCACCAGCGCGGCACCGCGAAAACCAATTCAGCAATTCGACGTGCGCTGTCGGAGTTCGTGGTTTTATTGATTTCTCGTTCAATCGCGATCGCCGTTAAAGCAGCGGGTAATTTCGCTTGCGCGCGCGCGGTCGAGGTATTTCGTCCGCGACGTAACGGGCGCGAACGAGACGAGTCGGAAAAAATGCTCGGTCGGCCTATCGAAGCGAGACATCGTCGGTAAATAAATCACCCGGGTTCGTCTAATAAAACTCCGCCGGTGGAAGCCGACTTGGAACGCGATAAATAAACAAAGTGAGAAACCGACATGGCAGGGCAGGGCGCGTCGTCGCGATTTCGCATTATCTCGGCGAGATATTTAGTTGCGCCAAGATTGACGTGGTCGAGGCGACGTGGCGCAATCGGCACGTCTGTAAAAATTGACGCGATATTTAGAGAGAACGGTTCTCTTCTGCTCCCCCGAATTTCTGCGGTTAAAGAGACATCGTTATCGGGCGAGACGTGAAACAGACTCCCACCTGGGATCTATCGTTATCGTGTAGCGCGAGAGAGAGGAAACAGCGGACGTGTTAATGAGCAACTGGTGATTGGACTCGATTAGCGAATCTCTTCATTATACTCCCAAAACGAAATGTTTAAACTTTGAGCCAATATGCTGGCTCCCCTTGGCATTTTTCCACTTTACTTGGCCGCGCACCGCAATGAATCTATTGAAATATCGTTCGAATCCCCGCTGGAAATTTAATACAATTTTCGAGCGCTTATTGGGCAATTATGCTAACTCTTGTCTAGTAATTGAAAAACAAAACTCTTTCAATCTCCTGATGTTTTTGCAGTACGAAAACTGCGCAAAAACCATTTACTGAATGAAAACAAAACAATAAATGAACAAAAAGCTTTGTGCCATTAATTAGTAATCAAGTCTCTCGTTCATAAAATAGGGAAGTTAGTCTTAATAATATTCCCTTTCGTGCATGCTTTCTAATTGAAAATTTTAGAACAAACTTGGGATCTCAATCTCGAGATGTAACGCTTTTTTCGTAACACGAAAGATGCGCAAGATCTAAAGCTGTTTACTGAACGAAAGCAAAATGATAAATGGACAAGAAGCTTTGTGCCACTAATTAATAATCAAGTGTCTCGCTTGTAAAATAAACAGGTTCGCTTTAATAGCGTTTCCTTTTTGTGCAGGTTTCCTAATTGAAAATTTTAATACTAATGAGTGTCATGGCACAGGGACGGTGCGTAATATATTTCTTCTTTCATGTTTCTCGCCTTTTATATAACATTTTCCATCAGTGGCAGTATCAAGTGATAAAATTCTTTCGTTCATTCTTGCAGTTGTACAATACCATTACATCAGGTCTTTTTCTTGAACGATTTCGCTTATATCATTGCCATCAGAATAGTCTAATGTGCCGTCATCTCGTAATAAATTTTATATTGTTGACACATGCCCCATTTGTCTTTTGCTCACTGTCATCTCTAACTTAGGTTGTCACCTCTGCCACAGAGCTTAATATTGTCGAATGCCTCATTTCTTTGAACCTCCTTTTCTTTGCTGTCTGTCTTTTACACGTTCACTCATTGCTCTCACGCGAAGTTTTAAGCTCTTTTTTAACAATATAAATAAATAAAAATTTTTTAAATTTAGCCGCGATAGATATCATAGTACGCGCATTATAAAGTAGAATTAACATCACTGATACTATGTATCGTGGAGAGAATCGGCTCACATATTGTACAGTAAACTTCAATGAATCACTGAATCAAACTCCATCAAGCTCTCTTGCGCAGTATTTTTTACATCTAACAATGATACATTAGTTCTGGATAATAACTGGACGGATATCCACGCAAACTGCACACATTTCTACCAGGCAATGTTTTTAGTTCTCATTTAGATTTAAAAGCGTCCACTAGTCACAGGTGTTCGTTAAAGCATCCCGTTTTTCTCCGTCACATCTGGCAAATCGTTATTACAATATGCCGATCAATCATCACGAGATGTCCGATTCCAGTGGCCGCGGCCCGCCGGTCGTAAATGAAGCACGAGAAAACTTTGATCGCAACGGATGATGTCACCGGATCGATACCGTGTCATGAGGGGCGTCTTCTCGAGAGTGCCAGAGATTGATGGTACCGACGATTGCGACATTCCTGAAAATCGATGCGACCTTCGACAGCCTCTTCCCTCGTTCTGCGATCTTTGCGTCGTGTACATTCGCTTCTTTCACTCTTTCCAGGGAGACGTCTCTCTCTCTCTCTCTCCCTCTCCCTCTCTCCCTCTCCCTCCCTCTCCCTCCCTCTCCTTCTCTCTCTCTCTCTCTTCTTTTGTTTTTATTTTAATTTTCTATCTGTAATTTTATAATTTACGTCATTATATTATACTCACTATAATATTGCTTTATTTTTCATTTTTATCTTATATATACATTTATTCACAGGGTGCCCCAGATTTGTCTCCGTAACATTTGTGAGAACGTAGAATAATTGATGTAAACATAAAAGTCCTACGCCGTTTTACAATATTCGTAATAATTATCGAGATATTAATTAAAAAAGATTTATGAATAATCATGCGAGATATAGATATAGATGAGCTGTAATGGCGGCATCTGCCGTCATATACATTAGCTCAAGTTGAACAAAAATGTTCTCTACCTTTTCCCTAATAACTTTGTAGACTTTTAATTATTAGAGAATATTAATATATTATCGCAAGCGACCATGCGTCAATCTCTTCTTTAATTAATAATTAAAAATTTAAAAAGTTAATCTACAAATAGTAGAAGACCTTTTTGTTCAGTTTGACCTAATATACAAACACATGATGACAAACGTCGTCATTACAGCTCATCTATCATATTTCGCGTGAACATTCACAGATTTTCTTTATTTAATATCTCCGATAATTATTACGAATATCGCAAAATAGTATAGGACTTTCATGTTTATGTTAATTCGTACTATGCCTCCACGAGAACTTCGGAGGATGTTCTAGAACACTTTATATATACTTCTGTATGTCTGAAAGTATTTTATTCTAAAACTTAACAAATCGTTCTCTCTCTCTCTCTCTCTCTTTGCCCTTCTCCCTCACGCGCATACATTCATGTTTGAAAACTCGTCGTCACAGTTCAAAATTCGAGCATTGCGAAGTTCGGCAGGTCTCGCGTAACCGGTTAACCGATCTCATTATGATCCACTCGTTGTTGGACTCCCGATCCCGCAATTCGCGGAGTTTTACTTAATTTATTCGCGAAATGCATTACGCAGAGCAGCAACTGTCGTCGCTGCGGTTACGAATAAATGATACGTCGCTAGACGTGCCGTGTCACAGTCTGACCGACGAGGAAGGTGGGATCGATCGATCATCGCTGGTAAAACGTCATGAAGTATTCACACGTTATCTAGCACGAAAGATCGCGACGTTACATGTCCGCGCACGCGGCGTAAAATATCCGCCGCTGAATTAACGCGACGTCCCGCGAGCAATCCGCTGTTTTTCTCGCGGAGTAAAGCTGTTTGGCTTCGCGCGGAGGAATGTTAGGGTTAGGACAGATGTTGAGTCTCAGCGCAACACGAGCAAGGGAAGTTGGCGCGAGCAAATGGAAGATCTCCCTGTAACTTTGTGGCGAATTTTGGCCTGTTTCACCATTGCGAGGTCGCGACGACGAGAGATATTTCGAAACAGCGTGCAAAGCGAGAAGAACAAGATTTTCGCGATCGCCACGCACGAATAAAACGCGAACTCTTCTCGGGCGAGGAGGAGGGGGCGGGGGTGAAGGAGGACAAATTGGAGCGCGCGAGCCAAACGAGCCGAGC